AGAGAAAGAAGTGGGTGTTTGGGTGTGGGTATGTTTGGACTCTAGCAAACCAAACTATTTCACTTTCTATCACTAAAAATGATATGTAACATTGGCTGGTGCCAGGTCTGAGACAAAGATACAACACTCTGTGATCCCTGTGACAAAAGCCTTTTTATTCTTGTGAATTGTCCTTAAATATTGAGTTTGGAGTTCCCAGGCAAACCCATATGATTGGTTGGGAGTTTGGATTGCTCAGCTCTCTGACCAATGGCATCTGCATCTTCGGATGGAACTCGTGTGAAATCCCTGTTTGGCTTTGAATCTATCCTATTATTGTTCACCTAGGGGCCTGTTTATCGAACCAGGCTACTTGAATAGAATCTCTTATTTATGGCTGAATTAATTGCCCAGCCAGCTTGTGCTGTTACAATGATGCACTGAATACTTTATTAAATCTAATTCTTCACGCTCAGTTTGAAAGTGCAATATTAGGAGGTAGGTCACAAGAACTCTGAAAAGACTATTTTGCATGCTGGTCAAGATCAGCAGCAATTTAAAGTAGCAGTCATGGAGTACCAGTTATGAGCTGTTTGAAGACTGTTGTATGATGTTCATTCCTCAGCAAAAGACTGATATATGCTGCAAAAGATGTAAAGTTGTACTAATCAAAATAAACACAAAGAGATATGACCTATTTCTAAAATATCCACTTTACTCCTGTGGGTGACATAACAGGAGAGATTGGGGCAAAATATTTCCTTTGATAGAAAGGAAATAATTTTTACAAAATTGTTTTTCACCTAAAGGCTGGCAGACATGCAGGGTTTCTTTTTTACCTTTGTCAATATTGCAAAACTATTTCATAAGTTGGGAAAGAAAAATAAAACATATCAGTGGTTGAGTGTTTGAGTACTTTTGGTTAAAAGAAAAGTTGTCGCAACTTCCACTGTATCAGCGTATTCACATTTCAAAAGCTCTTTCCTATCAGATATGGGTGCTAGTGCTTACATTAGAACTCAAACATTGTGAGTTGGAGGTGACTTTGCATAGCAAAAGTCTAAACACTCTGGCACTGCTAGCCAGGAATTAGTAATGATTACACCAGTTTTAAATAACTTCCACATGTATGAAAGTTTCTCGTCATGACAGGCCCTTTACCCCTTCTGTTCTTTGAGCATGGCTGACAGAGTCCTAGCATGCAAAGAAACAAAGCTTAGGTAATGATTGTTTGGTTGTTTTGGTGGTTTGATTGGTTGGTTTGGGATTTGTTCATTGTTTGTTTTTTTTTTTCAATTGCACTCTTCCTGCTACTTTTGAAGTCATCCTCTGATTCTGATCTTATATTACATGAGAGCATGAGTATTAAAGATAGCAAATTTCTGCATGTTTTGTGAAATAGCATTTGGAACAAATAAAACCTAGTAATGTCCCAAAGAGTGATATGTGTTCACTTAGCTTTTGTCCAAGGAACAGCAGCATGCCAACCTGTACACATGTAGTTAAGACTTAACTGAAGTCCAGCCTCTTGCCCATCCCAAACAGGTAGGGGAGAACTAAACAAAGGAAGGCTTATGGTTATGAAGGGAGGTGGCTCATGGCTTTCAGTGGCTAGAATACAAATTTGGAGAAAATATGGCTTCATGAGTTCTATAGTTCTTGGAAAAATTTATTCAATCTTGTGATATTTGATGAGTGGAAAGACTGCAGTGTTCTGTCTTTGTATCACACAGGGGTATTAATGCTGATACATTGCTAAGGAAATAAAAGCAGACTATAAGCTCATTAAAAACTCCTTCCCTTAAACACGGAAGTATATAAATTCCAGATTTCATATGAGACACCGAGTTGTGCAAATGCAATGGGAAATAATGGGAATCATCATCTTCATAGGAAGAGAATTTTGTTGAAGGGACAGCTAGCTATTCCATTATTATACGAGAAATATATTAGAGGATCCTGATATTTGACTGCTTAGGTGAAAGTAGCAAACATTCTAGTATCAATATGTTACACTAGAGTATTAAATTATACAGAACTGTGGTTTTGATTACCCAAACTTAAATATCTAGTTTTGGGGGCCTTTTTCATAAACTAAATAGTTGCCTATTAAGTAAAAAATTTGTTACTCAGGATGAACAGGAATACTGCTGCATATACTCAGCCATATACTCAGAGGTTCACAGCACAATTTAGAGAGCGTTCTTTCTCAACAACCCTCATAGGAAGGACGCTGTGAAGCTAAATATAAAAAGATCTGAAGCAGTGACATTTAAAGAAATTTTTAAAATTCTTTAAAATTTCTTTTCTATTGAAGGATCATGTGGACAAATAGCTCTTCAGTGCATGCACCTCAAAGGGGTCAGGTTTAAGATCTATACTAGCTACCTGAAAGATGGGAAATAGTTAGTGAAAATCTGAGTAATTTAAACTCACTTTTAATCGTGTACCCTTATGTGGTGTAAATATTAGTAAGGCATGAATTCCAGAAACTTAGATATCCGTAGGTGTATCCAAGAATTCAAAACATAATCTACCCCTTTGGAATGTTGAACTGTTGAATTAGGCCACAGCAGAAGGGTTTGTATTCTTTAGGATATATTAAAAGATACCTATATGTTTTCTGAAGTATTTGACAACAGCTGAAATCTTAGGAAATCATAACTCCCAGATAAACGGAGAGAAGTTTTTTGATCGTATGAATGTGATCCAATTGCCCCATACTACTTTAAGTGTCCTATGGGGCCCTGGAGAGATCACAAATCACAGAATCTGCTGAGTTGGAAGGGACTCATCAGGATCATCGAGTCCAAGTCCTGGTCCTGCTCAGGACCGTCCCCAAGAGGCACACCATGTGCCTGAGAGTATTTCCAAATGCTTTCTGAACTCTGTCAGGCTTGATGACAGTTAATAGAAGGAGGGAATAAAGTTCTGCAGCATTTGTCTACAGTACTCCTCTAAAAGTTCAGTTAAACTTAGTTATGACAGTCCCCTTGCATCTGGATAGAAATATTTTAAAAGTTCTTTCTTTAAAGTGGAAATGCAAAGAATTGGGCACAGTAATAGCAGCCTGGAATGCAGCAGAACCTAACCTCTGCCTAACTAATCGTACTCTTTTCTAACCTTCATGCATATGCAAAGGAACCAAAGTCACATGCTTCAAAGTCAAGCCTTTGCAAGACCATGGGTTTTCCTGTGCACAGAACATGCCTTTCCTGCCTGGTGTGCCTGCACAAGGAGGTTATCTATAGAAGCCACTATTATCTTGGTTAACACCACTCCCTCCTGTCATTTAATAGTTTAGTGATGTCTTACTCTATTACTTTTAATCTCATGTTGAGTTAAAGATCTAAAAATTAATGGAAATGAAAGCAAATTCTCCAAGGAAAAGATATTTCGAAGTTTTTCAGTATGCAGAATTGTGTTTAGAATTAATGAAATTTAGAAAACAAAGCACATAAATCAATGTATCATTGTCAGATCTTAGAGAGCTAAAATGTACTGTGTTATAGTAAATTAATACTAGCTATTACCTAACATTGCTAATCTTCAGATCTCACTTTCAAGAGATGGTAGAATATTAACTGTGTTGGGGCAGACCACACAGGCAAGCAGACAACACTTAGTCCCTCACTGATGCCCTGCTGACTATGGTCCCACTGCCCTTGTGCTTCTAACATTAACTGTTATCTGTCATTATTTTAAACACTTGGGTTATGATATTTATGTGACAGATCTGTAAATGTTGACAATTCTTGGAATTTTAAAACAAGTCTCAAATAATTAAATATTTCCAATATTAAAAACTCCAGCTGTTCGAATCAGACTGTTAGCTCACAGAAGTGGATATATATCCTTAATCCAAAACACAGCGCCAGTGACTATTTAAAAGTGTCCAAGCAAAGAGATACTGGAGTCTTAAACGATACTACAGCAGATGTCTTTTGTAAAGTCCAAGAATTCTCTATCCCATGAACACAAACAAACTTTTAGGAGAAACTTGGGACTTTTTTAATGTTAGTAATTCAATCCTCAGCAAAAGTTGATACAACACCTCATCCATTTCCCTGCCTGTTGTGGGCCTGGCTGAGAAGTTGTGCATGGGACTGAGAAAAATGTGTTCTCTTGAGCTCATTTGCCTTTGCTGTGGGAGAAGAAAGGCCATGACCATCCTAACATGTTGCACAGAAGAAATGAGGATGCCTCAGACCTTCGTGTTGGACCCAGACGTGCCTGATGGTTCGGCCTCGATGCCAGCACTGCAGCTGAAGGCGTAGGCAGTGAAATCAGGGAGAAGCAACTTTGGGCAGGAGCTCGGCCTGAGGAGTTGCAGCACTTTGAGGATCAGTGTGGAAAGAGGAACTATGAGACACATCGTTGCTGGTTGCACAACTGAGGCTTGAGTAAAAGGAGTCGCTGCCGTGGTGAATACAGTCCCCACCTGGATTTTATTTCCGAATTGCTCACAGGACTGCCCCCTTACACTGCAGTGTCTCTGTACAGCCAGAGTAGCTGTGTAATGGGATAACTTTACATTTTACTTACAAACAGCAGAAGTACAGTTTCCTATACCAGTTACTGTTGCCGAGCTGCGCAGAGGCTCCTGCAGCGAGCCCCTGAACGTCCCGCTCGGGGCCCGCTCTCCATCCCCGGCCAGGGCTCGGGGGCAGCGCGGCCCCGCCCGCCGCGCCTCGGAGCTGCGCGGAGCAGCGCCGCCGTGACGTCGCGACGCGGTTGCCATGGGGACTCCTGGGGTCGTACCTGACGGCTGTCGTGAAGCAGCGGGAGGAAGGCGAGGGAGGAAGAAGGGGGAGTCCAGGCCCAGCCCGGCCCCCCGGCCCGCGGGGAGTTGGCTCCGCGCCGCGCCCCGCCGCCCTCGCCGCATCGCAGTCGGAGTCAGGAGGAGGAGGAGGAGGCGGTGCTGCCGCCTCTGGCTATGTAGGGGCCCCAGAGCGGGCAGATCCGGAGGCCGCTGTCCGCCTCTGGAGCTCGGCGCCGGGGCCGGGGCCGGGCCCGGCGGGATGTTTTCCAAAAAGCCGCACGGGGACGTGCGGAAATCCACGCAGAAGGTGCTGGACACCCGCAAGGACCCACTTACCCGACTCAAGCACCTCCGTGTCCTTATAGGTGAGGCGGCCGGGAGGGGGGAAGGGAGTGGGTCAGCGGGGGCCGCGGTCCCGGCGTGAGAAAGACCGGGAATTTGGAGGGACCGGCTGGGCGCTGGGACGGGAGGCGAGTTCGGGGCTCAGCCCCGGCGAGAGAAGCCGCCCGGCATGGCGGGGTGAGACTGCAGCAATGTGCCGGGGGCCGCGGGACCCCGCGGGCGCGGCGCGGGATGCTGCGCTCGGTGCTTTTGTACTGAGACACGGACGTTTCCGACTGAAGGTGGAATTGCTTTGGTAACTATGGAAGGAGACGACAAAGTGGTGTTCTTCCCATATGAATTATTGTCCACGGTATACAAACTGCTAAGTTGCTGCGCATGAATAAAAGTAACTGGCTAGCGCAAATGGTGCCTGTAACTCCTGAATCCATTTCCCTTACGTTCTTACAGTAACAATTTATATTTGTATGTGTTTTCAAGGTAAGAGCTACAGTAGTAAGTGCTCCCTAGTGTAGATGTGAATGAGCTTCTATACAGCCAGATTCAAAACACGTCTGGTTTGCCAGTTGGTAAAGGAGGACACACAAGCCCTGAAGGGCTGCCGCAGTTCCATGTGAACTGCCATTTAACCTGACCAATGAATTAGAAATTGTGATTATACGGCATAATTGCCTAATAAAAAAAACAGGGGGAAGCAAAAACAAACCTAGAGTTAACCATTCCTAGATAGCTGTTCATTGCATGTGTTTGTAAAATCTAAGTCATTGTCATCAAGCTGTCCTTGAAAAAAGAAGCTTGCTCTGGAGTGTGTTTTGGGCGCTTCAGTCCTGTAAATGTTGCTTCTGACAGTTTATCAACACGTGAACAGGGCTGGGTCAAGGGCAACTGCATTCCGTGTTTAGCACAGAATGCTGAATGGATTATTTTGGGTTCTGCCCACAGGCTGCTGGTATTTCTGTATCTTGTCCTCCAAAGCTGGATTCTTTCCTCGCAAAGGAAAACGGCTATTGCTTTCATGTTTTGTATTGGTGTTTAAATAAGCAGGTGTTCCTATGTTGCACCATCTGCTGCTTCATGAGTTATTTTCTGCAACATAGTAATTATCTAGACTTGAAATGGAGAATACTTGTGTAGCTGTCTAAAAGACTTCAGAAGTCAGATGCATCCCTTTGCCTCGCTCAGAATGTACCACTCTTCCTAACTAACTGTACTGAGCCAGCTGTGGCTTACTCTGTATTGGTTTTTAGCTACTTCCTTAGTTGAAACTTAAGAGGAAGAAACATTCTAAAGAAATTAAGTACCTCTCTGAATTCAGATTTCCTGGCTAAAGTACGTTGAATATATCTAGTTTTGCTTAAGTCTGCAAAACACTCTGAATGATTTTGATCTGATCTGTTGAAGATTTTGCATTTATGTTGCTTGCAATTTATTTCCAACTTTTTGTTTTCTTCATCTTTCTTAATAATTGGATGACTTCTGTAAGTTGCAAGCCATAAGCTATGTCAAGCAGACATTCTTATCTAATCTAAGGTTTCTGTTTACTGACTGTAGGACAGACTAAATTTGCTGGGGAGGTTTTCATATGATGCCCCCCCTCCGCATGTGTATATCTCAGCTGTTGAAGCACAGCTCCCACACATCCTTTCTCCAAGTTTGGCAGAACACAGTGAGTGACTGTAATTAGGGAAAGGTGTAAAAGTACGGTTCAGCTTGTCTGTTTTGGATACATCCACAAGATTTTGTCATTATGCAAATATTCTTAGGTGCACGAGGTACAAAAACAAGGTCTTTTTTTAGGGCAGAAGAGTAAGGTATTTCCATACATATTCCCACTGTAGAGCATGGGAGGTATACAGCAGATTATTTGAAGTCTTTCTTCTGGTACGATCACTCCTTGCCTTAATCCTTTCTCTGCTGCCTCAAGTTGCTTCTAAAACATAAGCTCTATTTCCTTTCTCCTGCAGTTTTTTCTTTGACTAATCTTCAGAACCAGATTAAAAAAAATTAAGGTGCCTATGTAAGACAGACTACTTCCTGAGGTGGCTTCTCGTACAGGCACCATCCCGCAGCTTAAGCAGTGAAGTATTGCACATCATTTTGTCCTCAGTGGCTATTCCCCCAGAATAATTGCTGTATTTCCCTTGTGCTCAGGGGAGCCATGTTAGCTATTGCCAAAAGACTCTCTGAGGAGAGAGGACAGGAAATCTCAGGTCATGTCTGTTCAGCATCTTCCTGAAGGAAAAATTACTTATTATTTATTTATTAAATTAATTGATTAAAAATTCAGAAATTTTCCAGAAGAGAATTTTCTGCAGTTTAACATCCAGGGGAAGGAGGGAATTTTCTCTTGTTCTTTAATTTAAAATACTTTCAGTAGGCCTGCAAGGCATATTGGACCAGAGTTCCTTTTTTTTTTTTTTTTTTTTTTCTGTACATTTTAGTCTTTAGTCAGCAACAATAAACAGGTATGGCCTTGGTTTCATGGTTAAGACTTGAGGGGAGGAGAGAGAGTATTAGTTCATTTTTCTGCCATTTTATCAAGGCATCCAAAGTAGCAATTCTCCAGTAAGCCAAAATAATGGAATAGTCATGAATAGAAGTGACTGCTTGTAAATTATAGACTGCTGGCAGTCTGTTAGTCAAAGAGGAGTCTGAAAAGTTCAATTATGGTAAAAGACTGAGAGTTGCATCCTCCAAGGCACTGGTGTAAGTCAGGCACAGTATAGTCTAAAATATTTAAATTAGTATAATGCCACTTTTAGTAAGGATCAGAAGAGACTGAACAATATCAAAGCACCTAATATGAAGCTAAGTGGGTGGATAGCACAAAGGCCTGTGACTTTTATTTTTAACAAATTTAGAGTAGTGTACATTAGATGGAATTTTTAAAATGTCTTTTACAAGATAGCCTAGAATGTAGTGATTTGTATTGTTTTAGGAAAGTATCCTGTCATTCATGACAACTCAGATTAAATTTAGTAAAAAATGGAAATTAGTCTGCAGAAGAATATATAGAAAATTTTGTGTCTTTTGTAAAGCAGTGCTGTACCATTATATCAAATACCATTGCATCTTTAGGACTCATTGCTCTAGTCAGTGTGTAGAAGATTTAGGTGTGGGAATGACTCAGATGAGACTAAAATTTAATGTAAAAGGACATGAAAACTTTAAAATTTCTTTGTGTAGGGACAGAGGGTGAAAAATGTGTAAAAATATATGAAAAGGACTAGGAAATAACATCTATTAAGGCTTACCAAATTTGAAGTTATGATAAATGATTTTTGTCTTGGGAAGCTCTTGAATGCTAGACTAGTGATCAGTTCTCAGCATGCTGGGGGAAAATGCATTTCTTGTGGTTTGGATTTTTTTGTTTGTTTGGGGGTTTTTTTGTTTGATTTGTTTTGTTTGTTTGTGGGGTTTTTTGTTGCTTTTTTTTTTTTTTCCTGAAACTCTTTAGTAGATAACTGCTTTTTGCCACTTCAGTGCAGTGTCGATCTCTGGTTCTCTGATCTGCTTCAGATTGGCTCCATTCAGCCTTTTTTGTAATTTGGAAACCAGAGAAAATTCTGTGAAATTCAGGTGACTAATTCAGAAGTGATTAAATTATTTGTTAAAGTAAATATAATATATGACACATTTATGCATGTCACAGGTATAAGGTTTTTTAGTAGAAGTTAAAGGTCTTAGGAGACCTCTAAGTAGTAAGAAATATTATTCTAGCTAAGAAATGCTGAGAAAAATTGGAAAGATTGAAGTTTCGTATCTTGGGACTCAGCAGTATGTGAGCAAAGGTAATGTGCTTTTCTTCGTTATGTTGCTGCAGTATATTTCCTGAAACAACTGTAATTATCTGGTTTCATAGATTTTATTCTTTTGAGATGTATTCCTTTCTTCCTGTAGGGAAGTGTTTACCCCACCCTGCTCCATTTGTTTTTTTCTTCTCAGTTCTGGGAAGTGCCTGAGAGTCTCATACAGGTCCCTGGTGCTGATTTGCTCAATGTGTGATTTTTTAGCAAACTGCTCTGCTGTCCTGTCTTCCTGCATTCAGGAAATGCTGTGACAAAAGTTGTGTTTACTGTGTGTGACTGCGGTAGTTGGAGCATCCAAACCTGGAGCGGGAATGTCGTACCGGCTTCCGCTGGGCTCTGTGTGGCAGCAGCGGGGCCTTGCTGGCAGGAAGGCTGCCGGCTGCAGGTGGGATCACTCAGGCTCCTCTGGCTGATGGAAGGGAGGCACATCATGTACATTACAGACTTAGGTATTGCCTGTACAATGATTTTCCAGAAAAGATACCTTTCTCTATATATATCTATACTTATTTTAGCAGTCCCCAGTCAATTAGCAGCTAATTACAATTTTTAAGATCATTACAGCAGAAATAATATGGCATTATTCTTAAAATGTTGCACTATTTAATCAGACTTCAACATCAAACTAAAATTCTATGATTTTAAAATTATAATTTATCTCTGGAACCATGGAGAGAATACTTGTAAGATGCAAGAAAACGGTATCTAAAGTGCAGGGTGTTTATTTTATTATTTTGTTTTGTTATTCTTGGTGTTTGGTTACTGCTGAAGATCTCATGTATATAGTCTTTGAAAGAGAAAAGTCATTACATGGGACAGAATGAAATGGACTGCATTGGACATCCATTCTGATATATTGCTTAATATTAATATACTTAAACAGAGATTGCATTCGTTTAAAGGGATTTTAATTTAAGAAATATATTTCACTGGCAGTCGGCCCTAATGCTTCAGCTGGATGGCATTCATTGGTGTTGCATGTCATCAACATCAGTTATAAATGAAAAATGTTTTATCATTGTTAAAGTGACAGCAAGTGAGAAGCTACTACAAAAGTAGCTGCCTTGAGTTTCGATGGATGTGCAAAGACTTATATGAGCACTGACATGTCCTCTGCAGTTAAAACTAACCAGGAAAGAAAAAAAAATCTACAACTCTTGCCAAAAATAATAAGTAGAAACTGAGCTTCATGTTCTGTCACTCTTGACTTAACC